GGGCGAGAAGGAGTTGGAGTGGGGCAAGCTTACCAAGGGTGAAGCTGCAGAACACAGCGCTTTTTTTTTTTTTTTTTTTTTTTTTTTTTCGAACACAGCGTGACACTTGGAACGACCAAGAAAATTTAAATCACAGAGGCAAACTGCCGCGCCTATGGGGGCCTGGGTATTGTGCAAAGTTGCCAACCCGGTATGTAGGGGAAACAGGTAAAACAATGCGCCGGCACAGGGCCCAACGACGCAGTCCAGATTGCAAATTTGTACGAGGGTCTGACAGGGGCAAAACAAAAAGATTTAGGCCCGAAAAGGGCATTCTGCTCTACCCACCTCTTTTAGGGGTATTTTGGTATATATTGCAACTTATAGGGGTATTTCGCAAATTATCCCTTTTTTTAATACAGGGACCTTCCCTGGTACTTGCCCGGCCGGGCGGGGGGGGCAAACAAGGTGACCTGGGCAGCCCGGTTTATAACACATTATAATATATAATACTAATATCAGTTTGAAATTTGGGTTTTTCCTCTTGCAATTGTCTCCCCTGCAGTGGAGTTTTCGAATTGGCTTTACGCCAAAGGAAGGCCTTGTGCTTCATACGGTCGCTTATGACGATGGTGACAGAGGAAGACGATCCATTGCTCACAGGCTGAGCTTCGTGGAGATGGTGGTGCCGTATGGGGATCCAAATGTTAGTGTGTACCCTATTTTAAACCCCTCTTTCTCTGAATCTTTCTGTTTGAGCCCCCTGTTAAGCACCCCTTTAAACCAGTGGCACCCTTTAAACCCCCCTTTAAGCACCCCCTTTACACCAGTGGCACCCTTTAAACCCCCCTTCAAATTCCTCTTCCTCTTTCTCAGAATTCTTCTGTTTAAACAGCCTTTTATTTAAACCACTCGTTAAATGCCAAGTCAAGCCCTCTTGTGAACCCCTCTTTAAACCTCTCTTCAAGCCTTAGGCCTTCTTTAAACCCCTCTTGGCCCCTCTTTAGTTACCCCCTTTAAACCCCTCTTGACCCCTCTTTAGGTAACCCCTTTAAAGTTTAAACCCTTCTTCCTCAGCATCCCTCTGCTTAGACCGCATATGTAAATCACTCTTTAAATGGCTCTTCAAGCCCCTTTTAAAACCCTCCTTAAAAAACACTATCTAAACCACTTTTTAAACCCGTCCTCTAGCCCCCTTTTTGAACCCCTGTTTAATCCCCTCTTTGAACCCCTCTTTAAAACTTCTCTTTGAGCCCCTCTTTAGAACCCTCTTTGAGCCCCAGTTTTTCTAGGCCCTTTTTAAACCCCTCTTTAAGCCCTTCATTTCCCAATCCTTCTGTTTAAACCCCTGTTTCTCTTTTCCTTCTTTTTAGTACAGGGCCAAGACCACAAGCTCAAATGACAAGCACAATGACCCCTCCTGACCTTATGGCTACAAGACCCGTAGCAGACTCGACCAAGCAACAACAGTGATTTTCGTTAAAACGGACATTTTGTATTTTTTGAACGAAATTGAAACCCACTTATTTCAATTATTTGGCCTTGGAAATGTCACCGTTTTAGCTCCATAGGGTCCCCTTTGGATGTGTACCTGAACTTCAGTTGAGTCCAAATGGACCCTGAGGAGATAAACGGTGATATTTTCTGGGCCAAATAAGTGGGTTTCAATTTCGTTCAAAAAATATAAAATGTCCAGTTGAGTCCAAATGGACCCTTTTTTTTTTTTTTTGGAGAAACAGGCCCTTGTATAAGGCCTCTATCCTGGTGGTGGTAAGAGAACCACCGGGATTGAGGTTTTGCCTGGCGGGCCGCTCCGTCTATTGGTGGGGAGCATCACCTGCTGGGAACCGGGCCCAGCGTCCCGTGAATACATCTGTTGGTAACAGTACAGTCTTGAGGTTGGACCCTGAGGAGATAAACGGTGATATTTTCTGGGCCAAATAAGTGGGTTTCTATTTCGTTCCAAAAATATAAAATGTCCAGTTGAGTCCAAATGGACCCTCAGGAGATAAACGGTGATATTTTCTGCGGCAAATAAGTTGGTTTCACGTTTGTTCAAAAAATATAAAATGTTCGATTTGACGAAATCGCTGTTCAACTACCACCACACCAGCACTGTGGCAAGAATTGACTGTCCTGAAGTCTCTTGAACCACCAGTACTTGGCCCATTTATCCGCCATAGAAAAAAAAGGAGTAGAATCGTTTCTAGTCGGATGAATTTGGGTGCTCCTGTAGTGGCCCGCACATTTCCTAAAATCATGGCTTGTAAACGGGCACGACTTTCAGAAGTACTGGTGGTTTGATGATGATGAATAGCCCTCTTCTCGCCTACCAACAATTAAATTAAATATGACAACAACCCCCACGGTTCTTAGCATACTTGTGGCGCACAGCACTGGTGCACGCTGCGCTGCGCATGCTCATGTGCGGTGCCCTATGTGCTGGGTGAAGCGCACATGCGCACGCACGCGCAGGCATGCGCCCATGCGCTGCGCGCACGCATGAGGGTTGGGCTGGTGCGCTGGATGTGCGGGTTCTTTTTTTTTTTTTGGGGGGGGGGGGGGGGGGGGGGGCGAGGGGGAGAGAGAGAGAGAGAGAGAGAGAGAGAGAGAGAGAGAGAGAGAGAGAGAGAGAGACTGAGAGAGTTTTCCGTCAATAGGATGAGCAACGCACGGGCAAACAGGTAAGCCTCCAACCCCGCGGCTGGCCTCACGCTACTTCCATCGATAGGATGAGCAAATCTATTAATCTTCCGCTAGAACATGGACATATACACTACTACATGCGCGCGTGTTTGTGTGTGTGTGTGTGTGTGTGGAGAGAGAGAGAGAGAGAGAGAGAGAGAGAGAGAGAGAGAGAGAGAGAGAGAGAGAGAGAGAGAGGAGTTTTCCATCGATAGGATGAGCAACGCACCCGCGAATTGGTAAGCCTCCAACCCTGCGGCTGGCCTCGCGCTGCTGCCCGGCTATGGAGGATGGCCGACGGAGGACTTCGGTGAAGACGGCCGAGGCGTGAAGACGGCCAAGGGTCTTCGACTCTTCGATGACTACGGCAGCGCGAGGATGAGGTGGAGGACACGAGTGAACTGTCTGGCGGCGTGGGCGGGAGATCACCTCACCTAGTGTTCGACTTCGAACGTTGGGACAAAAAAAATTCCGGGCCTTGGCGCAGCCCCAAAAAAATTTGCGCGGGTAGTTTCATTTTTAGGACAACCCCCCCTCTCACTTGCACCCCGCCCCCCAAATGTTTTGTTTTTCCGTCAACCCTTAATTTAGGCCATGCGGCGCATGTCGTGCGCGCGCTGCGCGATGCGGCGCACGTGCGCAAGTGCCGCGCACGACATGCGCCTCAAGTATGGTTCTTAGCCCTTGCTATCTCTGGGCATCCCTACACCACTCTCGAAATGTGCAAAATGAGAATGAACTTCCACGTAGAACATATGCTGTCTCTTATACACATCTAGATGTGTATAAGAGACAGCTCTCTCTCTCTCTCTCTCTCTCTCTCTCCTGACTCCTGAGACCTTTCTATTCCATGGGATCTTCGAACCCCATTGCCAGGTATGCTTGTGACCCCTAACGACGCTGAACTGGCGACTGGTTGAAACACAGCATAAGGTCTCTCTCTCTCTCTCTCTCTCTCTCTCTCTCTCTCTCTCTCTCTCTCTCTCTCTCATGGCAGGTATTCTTGCGACCCGCCGACCCCTAATGATGCTGAACCCGCCCGCGACTGGTTGAAACATAGCATAGGATCATATTGCCAGAATTGCTGTGTTCTCGAAAAAGCAAGTCGAGCAATTCTGGTGCTTGGGCTTCCAACTTCGTCTCGTCTACTTCCCCACTGTGTATTGACAAATTCATTTTGTCGTGGCATGGTCTCGACTCTTGAGCCAGTGCACAATAACACTTGGCATGTAAGAAAACTCACTCACCTACTCGGTTTCAACTTTTAACTGTTAACGAGCCAGTGCACTCCCTTTTTTTGTTTGTTTGAGCCAGTGCGCTCCCAGATCTAATGTTTTTGGTTTTTGTCAATGAAGATTTGAATTTTGAAATCCTTTTTCTTTTCTTTTTTTCCGGGGGGCTGAGTTGGGATGTGGAGTGGGGGGCAGCGGGGGGTTCCTTGCAGTGTTCCGGTACTTTCTACAATGATTGCCTTAATTATGTTTACACTCTGATGGCTCGTCGATTAGTTTTCCCCCCAAAACTTCTGGCTCCCCCCCCCCCCCCCCCCCCCCCCCCCCCCCACCACTTCCCTCTTTCTGGCTCTAACTATCTTCTGTTTAAAATTAATATAGTTGTGACTGGAAACATGTGTTGCAGGGCTGTGACTGCTTGGGCTTCATCAAGTATTTTGATGCGCATTTCACAAACTATGTCGGCGGTGTGGAAACCATCGAGAATTGTGTATGCCTGCATGAGGAAGATTTTGGAGTTCTCTGGAAGCACCAGGTAAGTCTTTCTCCGAGTCGGTGCTCTTGCATCCATTTCATGGTTGCTTTTCTTGTTACTCTCTCTCTCTCTCTCTCTCTCTCTCTCTCTCTCTCTCTCTCTCTCTCTCTCTCTCTCTCTCTCTCTCTCTCTCTCTCTCTATCTCTCTCTGGTTTCTCTCTTGTGCGTCCTTAAGGTCACCCTNTCTCTCTCTCTCTCTCTCTCTCTCTCTCTCTCTCTCTCTCTCTCTCTCTCTCTCTCTCTCTCTCTCTCTCTTTCTCTCTCTCTCTCTACCCCCAGCTGTTTCTCTGTCGCTTCTTCCGCCTCCCATGCTTGCCCCTCTTCATCTGGCCATTCGATATTTCTCATCCGTCCATCCACCTGTCTAGTAGGTCATGTGAGTCGCAAATGGTTTTCCTTGCATGCCTGTCTGATGGTCTGCACATCGGTTGGTAATTGGCCACATCTGCTGTGAGGTGTTTGGCCCGGGCAGATAGGTTACTTGCTGGCTTGCTTACCCAGGCCGCCTGTCGTCAATCTGAGTGGCATTGTGAGTGGAAGGGTTGAGTTCTCGAAGCAGTGTGAAGTTTGGGATGAGGGAGGAAAATGGTGAGGCCATGATAGTAATGCTCACATCATCTTCTTCGCGATGTTTTCCATTATGTTATTATCTGATTTTTCTCATCCATCCATCCATCCGTCCATCCATTTTTGTCTGTCCCTCCCTTTCTCCCTCCATCACTATCCATCCATCTGATGTCTCCATCTATCCATCTATCTGTCGATTCATCCGCTCATCGGTCTATTTATTCGTCTACCCGCCGATCCATGTACTTGTCTCTCGGTCTCTTTGTCTATCCGTCTATCCGTCTATCCGTCGATCCGTTTATCTGTCTGTCTGTCTATCCGTCTATCCGTCTATCTGTCTACGAGGCTATCTCTCTATCCATATATCGGTCTATTCATCTATCTGCCTATCCATGTGCTCGTGTCTTTGTCTATCCGTCTATCCATCCATCTCTGGCCTCCATCTGTCCATAACTGACATTTAGTTAAAATTGACATTTTTCACGAGTTTTCGCTAAATTGGCCGTCCAAAAAAAAAAAAAAAGTGTTTTTTAGCAATTTTTAGCATTTTTTGAGCGCACGACGTCAGACCATTGATGGTCTGGCGTCGTCATGATGCCGGGCCATCTGATGTATCTTGATGAAATTTCCATCAAGATACATCGGAGGGTCCTAAAAAACTATAAAAAATCGAGGTGGATCAGATGGTCTGTGTCCTTAGGACGCCAGTCCATCAATGGTCCGATGTCATGAGCACAAAAAAATTCTCAGAAATACTCTTTTTTTCTTTTTTCTTTTTTCTTTTTTTTTAAAACTAAATGCGTGTTCCATCACCTATCCACCTATCCATGCATCTTTGCCCTGATTCCATGTATTGCCTGTTAAAAAGTCCCATGATTTAGCATGTTCATCGAACCTGACTGCTGATTGTGAAGGTCCATTGCTAGAAACAAAGAATCTGGGTGAGTGGGTACCGGCTACCTGCTTTGCTTGGGAAAAAGATGATGCATCATCTCATCTCTCTCTAATAGTCTCTATCCTAAAAGGCTAAAAGCCTAAAACTTTTTTTTTTTTTTAATGAGAAAGTGGGACCATTTCTCGATTTATGCGTGTCATCCTCACACAGGGGCCACACTAATCTTCTTTCTCTGTATCGTTCCAGTTTTAAAGGATGTCCCGAAGGACATCGTTGTTGTTGTTGTTGTTGTTGTTGTTGTTGTTGTTGTTTTTTAAGTCTCAAACCCAAGGACATCTTTTGGTTGTTTAGTTGTCCATTTTCTCGAATTTTCTAAACTTTTTGCATTGTGTTGACCTTTCCAATGTTTCCACTTTTTTTCTTTTTCTTTTTTTACTTCCAAATTTTAATGCGTTGACTTTTTTGAACTTTTTCAATGTGTTGACTTTTGACCACTACCATTTCTACATCCTCCTAGACTCCACGTCCTTCCACCGATTTGAGCGGGCCATGCTTTTTCTTCCTAATCCTGATTGGTTGTTTAATTGGCTACATGGGACGGTGGGAGTCACGGAAGTAAGAATCATTACCACCATTCACAGGATTTTTTATTATTATTATTTTTTTTTTTGGAAAGCTGCCTTCTCCTCGTTGGGGGACAACTAGCCATATATATATATATTTATTTTTATTTTTATTTATTTTATTTATTTTATATATGTTTAGCCATATATTTTTCTCTCACCTCACATATTTTTTTTTGTAACTGGCATTCTGCCATGTCATCATGCAACATATCTTTTTCTCACTAGAGTCACTACCTCTCCTTTTCCTTTTTTTTTTTTTTTTTTTTTTTTTTTTAAACTTGTTCACAGGATTGGCGTACTGGGTGGTCCGAGGTTCGACGGTCGAGGCGACTGTCCGCGTCGTTCTTCTGCACCCTTGCCAATTACGAGTACGGGTTCTTCTGGCACTTCTATCAGGTCAGCACATAATGCCCTCCCAAACTCTCCCAAACCTCAGGCATGGGCACCTTTGTTTTTTTGTTTTTTTTTTGTTTTCTTTTTGTTTTCTTTTTCTCAGGCATGGGCACCATAGCTCTATCTGCGAGGCTTCAAGGCTTTTTCATATATGATTGTATGGCATTGCATTTCCGCTCCACTGTTCAGTGTTCACACCTTTCTCACCTCATGATCTGCACTGGCAATCTGGTGCTAGAAGACGGTCACTGGCCGTCTACAGCCTTTACAAGTAGTTCACGCAAGGCGGTCTTTTTGAGTGCGCTGGATGGTACATTTCTTCCATTTATCATTTATGCAATTTATTCTATCAATAGAGTAAAAATCAATAAAAATAATAATAATAATAAAAAATCAATTCATTCAATGAATCCATTGCAGTACTTTGTGTTGGAACTAATATTTTAGATTCAATGTATATGTACCAGGACATAGACGTCCTGAATTATGCCAATGGATCACACACTGTCAGAGGCTGGTTTGTCTGAAAGCATACTCACGCTAAGACTTGTTTTTTTTTTTTTTTTTTAAGGAAAATAGCCCCTTTGAAAGCCCTCTATCCTGGCCGTGGTGAGAGAACCGCCAGAATTGAGGGTTTACCTGTCGGGCTGCTCCATCTATTGGTGGGGAACGGCACCTGCTGGAAACCGGGCCCAGCGTCCCATTGAAACATATTGTGGCACAGAGTCCCACATACAGCTATAACGACCCGGCATTGTATTTGGGGGAAGAAGGTAGCATCAGTATACTGTGAGTAGGTCTGCTGAAAAGCGGAGGAAGGTCATGTTAGCCTCACACACAAGCAGACGGATCTCATAACTAAGAGGTGATTCGATCCATTTTTTTTCATTTTCAATTTGAAATTATTATATGTTTATTTTAAATTCACTTATTTATTTAACAGAGGTGGTGTGGTTCTCTATTTTGTAGGATGGTCATATTGAGGCACAAGTCAAGCTTACAGGAATTTTGAGTGTTGGAAGTCTTCGAGATGGGGAATCTCGCCCACACGGAACTGTCATTGCACCTGGGCTCTATGCCCCCGTCCATCAGGTAAGACCCCCCAGCTCACCCCCCCGCCCCCCCCCCTGGAAAAAAATAAGAAATCATTTTATTTTGGGGAAACTACGC